CTTCCTTGCTCACCTCCGCTGCGATGTTCAGAGAGTCTTTCATCCACGCGAAGGCCTCGCGCCAGATGGCCCGGAAGGACAGCGCCTTGGTCGGGAACATAACTCCGGGGAAAAGCTTCGGGAACTCCAGAAACGCAGCCTTGCCCCCCTCCATCACTAGTGCAATCCTCCGCTCCACACGACCGTTGCTCTTGGGTCCGTCGACCGCCGTGAGCTCCCGCGTAGTGTTTAGCTCCACCAGCAGCCCCTGAAACTCCAAGTTGACCCACTCGGTGCCGTTGTCGGTCAGAACGCCCAGCCGCCCGTGAGTAGCCAAGAGCGATTTGATGGAGGCATACCACGCACGAAAGGTCGCCACCACGTTTATACCGCTCTTCTCCCGCAGAAAGCAAATCCACCCGTAGTTGGTATGACGGTCCAGGATCTGCATCACGTACTTGCNTTTGTACCGCTCTTCTCCCGCAGAAAGCAAATCCATCCGTAGTTGGTATGGTGGTCCAGGATCTGCATCACGTACTTGGCACCGCCGCTGGATTGGCCGAACGGACCGGCTAGGTCCATCGCGACACGCTCAAGAGGCCGCGTCGTCCGGCGGGAGGGGGAGATGACCTTGGGGACCGAGCGCTGAATCGCCTTCGACTCCGCACATCCATCGCAGTACTCCGGAGTGCCGGTCACCTTGATACCCATCTGCTTGGCAGTCTCGTTCAGCGTCTTGGAATCGGCATGACCGAGGGAGCAGGGAAGAGCGTTGTAGTCGATGCTGGATTGCGTGCTAGGCCGTAGCATCGCCGCAACCATCGCGGGGGCTGAGGAGGTGAGTCGCGTTGAGGCAGTGGATCAAAGGGAGTCCCCTGGATGTAATTCCCGTGAGGGAATATTGTCATGCCCACCCGCCCTCCCAAGATCGACGCTCCAGGCCGATTATGCTTGATCTCATGGCAATCCTGGATCTTGTTCAGCGACAGAATATCTAGCGCCAAACCCGGTACCACACCAGCATTCTGCAGGGCGACGCGCACGTCCTCAGGGCAGTGGAAGATCACATTACCGGGATGTGCTTGCCGTCGCCAAGCATGAGTAGTCGGTCCTCCGGGATCGGCGGGCGCCTGTTGCACACCTTTTCCGCACAAGGGACCACGTGGACTACGGGGTCGGTGTCTCCAAGGAAGACCGTCGAACCCGGGCGATGTGGGAAAAGGTCGGATGTTTCGCGCACGGGAGGGGATGAGGTAACGGAACAGACAAGGTGCATCGCGAAGCGACCGCCACCGAAGGTACCCTCGCCATCGCCAAGCGCCTCAGGGCCCGCTCCCGCCGCGTCACCACCACCGCTGCCGCCGCCATGTTCACCTTCCACGCCGCCGCCGCCGTGGAAAATGTCGACAAAATCAAAGCAGGGCTCGCCCGGTGTCACGACGTGATGCTGTACGATCGCCCCACCGCCACCACCGCCATCGCCACCACCGTTGCCGCCGCCACCAGCGCCGGCCAGCATGGTGTCACTGTAGTATACGCCATCGGCCGCCGGGACATCACGAAATTGGACGGCCGATGTATCCGCGGTGGTGTACGCGTACTCCGGACCGAGGGCACCAGCAGAAGTGACGACGTTGAGGTGGGGGTGCCGGTTGCTCTTGGCACAGTTGCGCCACATGTGACCGTACTGGCCGCATGCACCGCACGTGCCCTCGAATCTGCGGGGGGCGGCGCAATCTATGGCGTGGTGACCGTGCGTTCCACAGCGGCCGCATCTGTGCACTGTGCCCACCGGCGCGCCAGGTGGAGGCAGTGATTCCGGCTGATGATACACGGCATTACTACCGCAATCGTAGATGCCACCGACACCGTTCATAGCGGGCTGTTGCTGCTGCCGCTGCTGCTGCGGCTGCCGGTACGGCTGCATCTGCGACTGCTGTTGGTACGGCTGTTGCTGTTGCATCTGCTGTTGCGGCTGTTGCGGCTGCCGGTGCCGCTGCACCTGCAACTGCGGCTGTTGCGGCTGCCGGTACTGCTGTACCTGCAACTGCGGCTGTTGCGGTTGGACAGCACCGACCCCAGAGGACCAGTGTTANGCATTTGCTGCTGCGGCTGTTGGTACGACTGTTGTATCTGCCGCTGCGGCTGTTGCGGCTGCCGGTACTGCTGCACCTGCAACTGCGGCTGTTGCTGCTGGACAACACCGCGCCCAGAGGACCAGTGTTGCCCGCGGCCGTCGCCGTGTTGCCATTCCGCCGTTGACCTCCGCCCCCCCCGCTTGCCTCGTTGCCGCCGTGTCCAAAACCACGGCCCACAACAAGAGCATGGGGGTTGGCAGAAACCGCCGGCGTCGCAGCTGCCGACCCTCGCTCCCTCATCTCGCTGGCCTTGAGCGTGGCATATCGACCACGCACGCAGTCCTGCAACTCAGCGCGGGTTAAATCACGCTTGAAAGACTGGTGCGCTTCTCGACATCGTAGCGTGCGGGGAGTTGGCGCACGAAGATCTGCACAACTTCCTGCTCACTCTTAGCCATGCCCACAGCCCGCAATTTGGTCTCCAGTTGTGCGACGCGCTAGAAGAACAGCTTGGGGTCCTTATCATCATTCATGGTTACATTGTCTAGCTCGGCGACGAGAAGCTGACAACCTGCTGGGTGGTTAGGCAAAAACCAATCCTCCATCATCCACCACACTTCTGCCACGGAATGGCAAGAATACAGGTTGTTCTCAAGTGGGGCCCCACCGCTGCCTCCAAGATAAAACTCCATGTCCTCTTGTGCTCAACAACCAGCCGTGCACCATACTGGCGAGTCAAGTATCCTTCGTCCTGACAACTGACAACGGGAACCTCAGCACTGCCGGAGATTGTGTGCTGGAGATTATGGTTGTCCACGTAGGCCAGAAAGCGTCTCCGCCAACTGAGAAAGGTGTCGGCGGTGCAATGTGACGGGATTTTAGGCACAAGAGAGTTATGACAATTGTACCTCCCAGAGGCAAACCCGGCACCCCAGTACCGCCATCATGACTCACCCCGCCTGGCCACATTGGCCTCACCGGCGCAGATGAAGCCCCTCCAGGAGAAACTAGACCGTCGCCTCCTGGGCTGCTGCCGGCAGGTGCACCCGCCGACCGCCGCTGTGCTGCCCGAAGCTCCTCCGTCTCAGCCTTGGCCTCCTTCATCTCAGCGTCGGCCTCCTTCGTCTCAGCCTTGGCAACATCTATAGCTCGACCTCATTCAACCTAGCGCGCAGAGCTGAGTCCTCCTCCGTTCCAGAATTATCAAACTAAAACTCTGAACCCTCCTGCTGCCCCAGCCTCGAAGCGCTGTCCCAGCTATAAACCCTGCTGTCCCGGTTCCCGCAATGGCCACCGCACCAGCTATGCACTGCTGTCCTCGCCCCCTTTAGCCGCGATCCCAGCTATGAAAATGGAGTTCGCTGCCCCGATGGTCCAGCTCCCACCGCTCAGACGCCAATACCCATTACCAACACCAGGCCTCACAATATAGACTATTGTGTTTGGGTGCGGTAGCTCGTCAGAGGCCGAAAGAAAAAGAAGGTTGACTCAAGACCTTGTTGCTTAGAGAGTGAGAGACATGCCACAGGCAACACCATCGCCATGTAGCATGTCCATCAATACATACCATCCGCGCATCCCCCGGAGGCCCCGTAGACAGTATACTCTGCCGAGCACCCCAAACAACATTGATTCCGAAGGTATTGTAGCGTAGTCTAGCGGGCACGACACGGCACAGGCCTTTTTCAGAGAATTTTTGGCTGGTAGCTTTGCTGTTGCAACTCGAAGAAAGTGTCGGAACGATTTTGGCTTCCACAGCAGTCACGCCAAATACCAGCTTAGAGGAGGATTCAAGCTCGCTTGGTTCGAGGCAGTTGGCTTCCCGAGGCTGAAGTTTCGGCCGAAGCTTCTAACCGGTGTTCCATTTTGAGACATTCCGCCATTGGAAGGGACACTGCTAACGACCTTAAGAAGAAGCGTTCCAGCTGCAAAAAGAGCTACACTCGTTTTGTCTATTGTACAGACCTCAACGTGTCAACTCATCCTCTGCAAGACTGCTTTTTGCCTTTGTAGGCCTGTATTTTTTTTTTTTCTCCCATCATTGGACTCTGTCGTCTGCACTTCTGGCCCCTATCCTCCACTTCTACTACCTAGACGACCCAACCGGGTTCACATAGGAGGGGGGGGCTGGACCCCCTCCAGCGGTTCCTGCCTGAGGTATTTTTAACGCGAGAAGGGTACAGCAATCCCTTCCCCCGCGACTTACGAAGTCGATTACGGTTTACTAACAACGAGCTTTGCAGCGCGTCGCTTTCATCCTAGACCAGGATTTATTTAGTGAGGAAAAAACTCACTCTGCCGGGACTCGAACCCATGACATGACCCATAGTAGGCTACAAGCTACCCACTAGACCACCGGGGTGACCGGATATCGTAATGTATTCGGTCCAACGAAACCTTGGCTTCTTGTAGTTGAACTCGTCTAATCGATTGGTGTATTGGACAACACAACTTTGTACGCAGTCACACAATTCCTGACCACCCGCCGCACACGAGAGGCAGCGGGAGCACACCATAGCTGTGAAAATTGCTCGATTGCTATTGCTCGGCATCACTGACGACGCAACGTTATGAACGCGGAGGCTTGTTCGTCCTCAACGGTGCAGCTGTTTGAGTGGTCGTCTATGCATACCTCCTTCAGTCGGTCGACCGTGTCCATGTTTGCTTTGGTCACCCCGGTTGTGCTGATAGCCAGGACCTTCTGCTTGAACATTCCCCTCGCCCTCGAGCTTCCCGCATTTGGCCGCGAGTCTGGCCTGACTAGAGCGGCCTTTTTTGCCCACACGTCTTCCGGCTCGTACACAGCCCGGCTGCTTTTGTCCAGCCGACAGGTGGGGTAGATGTTGGCTTGCCTGATAGCATCCATTCGGATAGAGTGTGCCAGAGGCGATACGGGCGACCGTCGCCATCGTCTATCGGCAGACATGCAAAAAAAAAACCTTAGACGTTAGTCGTGCAAGCCACAATAACTGGGCCTCGCACCCGCCTTTCTGCCACAAACGCCACCACGCACGAGGTTTTATCCTTGCATGTACATGTGTGAATCATGTTGCATCCAAACGTGAACACGCAAAGGACGCGGGGCAATAACACGCTTCTGAAACGTAACCGAGGTGGTGGGTGGTTCCCTGATCGGGTGCATGTACATACGCGCACACCGCCTCGCGCACCAAGCATCAACTGCGAAAAATGGCATGGTCGAGAAGGGGGCATGCAAGGAGGTGCCGAGCGAGCTCACGCTAGGCCGGCGTGGCCACTGCTGCGGGAGAGACTGCTTCGAAACCCGCCTGAAAAGGTGCGGGAAGGAGGCCTTATTCCTAGGATCACCTGGCACACCAACGTCTTTTGTTTTTCTTCCACAGAACCTTGAAAGCGATCAGAGGAAACGCCCACGGGATCAGCGTTGGGTGTGCCGGTAGAGACGACTGATCTCTACCATGAGACGGTGAAACAACGGAATTCGCCTGTTCCTGCTTCAATTCGCTCATCAGATTGGATGGCTTTCTTCAACTAAACTGCTGTTGCCTGCGGGCCAACTCTCCTCCGGCTGCCAGACCGCGCCGTGTAGTCTAAGCGTACGTACGCATTTGCTGCAAACACCTAGGGTGCTCTGAATGGTTGGGTCTTGCGCACAGGACTTGTTGCGCTCTATCTTGGTGCTTCTACTGCGTGTTCAAACGCTTGTGTTGTGAGGCCCTCCCTGCCCGCATCAACTTCAAGAATTAAGTCTCCCCAGAATAGCAGCGTACATACGTAATATTCTTAGACGAGTCTTGTTCCATCGAATCGAGTCCCGCGCGTGTGTTGACTTGTTTCTTCCTACGAAACTACTGCTGTACAGCAGCACTACACCACAGTAGAACAATGTTGGATACTGGTCCGGAAGAAGGGTACGATACAATACGCCCACTGCACCGAGAAAAAAACGCAAGTACCGATATTTTGTTCGATATTCTGAAAATGGCTGATACGTATCGAGTATCGATACTCGATATCGTTGCGGCTGTTTTGAAGGAAGGTCTCAGGTTTCAAGAAGAGAGAGCTTTACGCAACTATTATAGACTACACGTACCTGGCACACCCAAATCCTACAGGAAGATTAGAGCAGTGCGCAAGACGTGCGCGCATGGTCCGGCGGCATGGAAAGTATGGAAGTAGTGGTGTGTGCCAGGTGTGTGAGATTGGACATCACGAACACAACAACAGGGGGCACACGCTGGCGTGATGCTGCGTAGAAAACTGCATTGTGCAAGAGGCAGGGTGTGTTTGGCTAGGTGTGTCGACCCGATATCTATAGTCTAGTCGCACCGCAGGAGGAAGGTGGGGCATGAAAAGAAATAAAAAGAAGAAAAAAGCCCTGGTGTTTAACCCCTCCTGTGTGACCCTGGATGGTTGTAGTTGTACGAAAAAATACACTGGAAAGTGTAGTACTCTACATACGCTGCGAGAGTGTAGTACACGTCTCACCACGAAAAATGGGGGGACTGCTGTCGCCATAACAAATAGGACGAAAACACACACATACCCATCAGCAGGTCGAAGCATCGACAAGTCGATCCTTAAGCCAGGATCAGCCCTCGAAGATCGAGCTGCAAGTAAGGTAAATCACCATGCGGGAACTTTCAACCCGTCTAGATCTACCCTCCTTACTGCTGCTTTTTCAACGAATGGTGGTCTTGGCGAAGGCACCAATCGACTCATCGTTGCTATCGCCAACCACTTGGCGCACGAAGCTTTTTGCCGGGAAAATTTTGACGACGAGAGGGCCTTAGTTCGCCTGAAAGCTTTTCATACTAACAGGATTCGGAGACGGTTTACCTTCGAGCTAGCTCGTTTTCTGTCGATGCGAACTCGCGATGTGTTCAAACGTCATGGGCTACTGATCGACCAACTTCCACCAGGGCCAATCGGTTGGGATCTCTGCGACAACGATAGTGGTGAGAGTAATTCTTTTGGGAGTGACGAAGACGAAGGAAAGGGAAAGGGGAGAAAGGAGGATGACGACGATGGAGCAGAAAAACATGGAGGAGTGGAAGAGAGCAAAGGGTTTGAGCCAGATGACCTTCCCCACAACAAGAAACGTAGGGCTAGGGAAGAACTGCCCAGAGATTCTTCTTGTCGAAATGAGGATCAGAATGATGGTAGCGAAAACAAGGAGGACACTGGTGAAAGTACTCCTAAACGAACTCGAGTACTAGGTAATAGCCTTAGTAGACGCGTGCATTTTTTGTCTGTTGCTGCTGTTTCTGTTTTTAATCCGAAGGATAGTTTAGCCTCCCCCATGCTGCCCCCTCACGGGGTCCCAGTTCATGGTAGATAGAAGTGCTTTGTGTTTTCAACCGCACTAAGACTGACGTCTTTTCATTGGTCAGCCGGTTAGCGCGGTCGATGCTAATAATAAAAACACATATATGGTACATTTTACAGCCACAGTTTTTTTTTTTTTCTCCCATCATTGGACTCTGTCGTCTGCCCCTCTTGCCCCTATCCTCCACTTCTACCAGCTAGACGACCCAACCGCGGTCACATAGGAGGGGGGGGTTGACCCCCTCCTGCGGTTCGTGCATCTGTGTATACACTATACATACACTATAATATATATATAAGAAATACACTGCCCTGTACTGTGTTGCGATCGACCGAATCAGTGCAAGCTCGGTGGCTCTGCGAGCAGGATTGCATGACAAAAAAACGCAGAAACAACTTGAACAGTACTCTCTCACTATCTACAATGCTAGCATGTTATGTTGGGGCTGGAATTCAAAAACTGCATGCAGCATGCAAACTTCCACCTGGCCAATTGTTGGGTGCCCAACAATGCACCTCGAGCGAGTATCAGCTCTAGACACCCAACAGCCAAAAGGAAACAAATAAAAAAACCTTGCGAAAAAAGGATGTACAAGAAGGGAATGCTGCTGGCGGGTGGTGTGTCTGTGACTGTGATGGCAGTGGGGGACGACAGGAGTGGGCGCCGGGGCGGGGTCGACAGCTGGGAAACCCACCCCTCCCGAGCAAAAGAGGGGGCCAAAATATCGAATATCGAATACCGATGTCGATACCGATACCGATTCGTATCGACGTATATCGGCGTGGAAATTGGCAATACCGATACCGCGTAGAGCCGACATCTATCAGTTTTGAATCGATACTCGATGCCCAATATCCAACACCTGCAAACGACATATGTGCAGTGTCGCAGTGTAAGTAGGATGCATCTGTCACAGTATTTCAGTCTTTCTACATCATCGGCCGATTGGAGGCCACTCTTGGACTGCTGTACAGTACAGCAGTCCTGTTGATGATTACGGTGTTGTCCAACTCCGTCTACTACAATGTTTACCTTCGGTCTTGAACGTTTTGCCTGGACTGGGAGACGGCGAAGTGCTGGAACACCACCTGCTTGCTTTTCAAAGGTTTAGGGTTGGGGTGGCTGCATACAATATAGGTCAGGTCTACGGTACTCTACATAGCATAAAACATGCATAGCTGCACGCAAGATACGTTTTCTTAACACATATGGCACAATGTCTTTCTTACAGCAGAGCAGAGAGGAGGGGGGTGCGGAGGCAAGCTCCATGGTTTGCCTGAAATTTGTGCTCATCTACGGAGGAATGCGCTCGTAGGTACAAGGGGTCCCCGTGGCCGCACAGGAGCACCCCCAGGCCACGCGTCAATCTTTGGCCGCGAGAGTGGTTTGTTGCATGTATGCATATAGTATTTAATATGTTATGCGAAAAACCTGTACTTCAAAGTACATAAATGCTTTGTTAAGTGGGATGTAGTGAGGCGTAGGATATTGTGCTGTAGGCCAAACTTGAACCTACATACGCACATGTAGACTCCCGTAATTTGCTCCGATCAGTGTTTAGTGACATTTTATTGAAAAGCCTACAAACAAAAATAGAGATTATTTATATGGGTTTATTGTGCGACACGAAAGCCTACACAATGAAGAGCATTTAGGTTTTTCTATTGACACACAAAATCCTACACACTAGACTGTAGCAAGCGACATATGCAACCTCTTGATCTTGGGCGTCAATCTTGGTCCGGCGGGGGGGGGGGGCTCCATGGTTTGCCACTGGGAGGCCCCTTGCCGGGGAACATCGAAATGGGATACTCGAGGCGCCGTAGGGCGATCGATGTCTGGCCGCCCCCTCGTCGCAACAATTTTTTAGGGCGTGGGAACGAAGGGTGTATCAATGAACTAATGATTATGTACGCCCTTGTGGTGAACGGCAAGCACAAAGCATGGTGCTGGCTACCATCATGCCGGCGTTTGCTTGCCACCCGCGGGATGTTGCTCTGTAACCGGTGCACTAGTGGTTTGATCCAGCGTCGAGAGCAGCGAGCTGCTTTCCCGACGTTTGATGTACGCTTGAACGGGGACTCCCACCAGCGGCAACCTTATCGTACCGTTCCTGAGCATTCTACCCGCTACCCCCGCCGAACCGACTCGTCTCAACTCTAACCCCACGTGACCACACCGTACCCAACCCATCCCGGTACAACCACAAATCCTTGGTGCCCTGTGCGCAGGCGTGTAGGTTGACTGCCTGCCTCACGTTCCCCGCGAAGTTTCCTTGAAGCTATTTTCCCCAGCCGAGAATGGCGAGACGCAACAGAATCGCGGGGCTTGAAATACCCCGGCTTCCTCGCGGAGACGTTTCCGGAAACTACGAGGGATATATCTGGCAACTACTAGCTAACACGTAGACTACCGATCCTTCCCGCAACCTAAGCCTCTCCCTCATATCCACCCTTGGCAATGACGCCGCTGCCGTCCCCGACCCTCAACTTGCGCCCCTCTTCCTCGCACAGGGGGGCAGCTGCGTCGCTCGATACTACAACGTTGCGAAAGGAATC